ATGGTAACCCACGTGTTTCTCCGACCATGGAGAATGGGAAACCTCACCCGCAGTGGACCAAAATGAAATACTCTGGTTCAGGGGACCACAGCCTGGGCTCTTCCACCACTCCTACAGTGAACAGGCTGATCACAGCAACTCCACCCTCGGCCCCGCTGGATCCCCCTCACAGGCTGCAACCCTGTCACCAGATCATGCATCTTATGCATCTTCAGGCCTTGACAGAGAAATGGTAGATATCTTTCTGAGTCAGTCCAGCGGCCTAGAACTTGACCCTGAACCTGCCAGCCATGGAGATTCTTCTGCCTCCCCATCTGCACAGCCATCGTACTCAGGGGACTCAATTCTCACTGCAGGTTTTGCTGATCTATTGCAAAGGGAATTAGACAAGGCTACCACTAAATTGTCTTCTGACCTGAAACAGGATTTTCGGGAATTGGACCATCATTTGGAAAGTATTGAATCTAAAGTTTGCAGGGTGTCCCAAAATTCCAGCATGATTACCGAACTCCAAGATTATCTAGAGGAAGCTTACGCTAAAATTGACGATCTTGAGAACCATGCAATGCGGTATAATTTCCGTATCAGGGGCCTTCCTGAAACCGTGAAGAATATCACTTCCATCGCTGTTTCTCTTATGCAATCTGCAGTGCCCGACATTGATGAGGTCCATTTGGAAATCGATCGTATCCACAGAGCATTGGTTCCTTTGAAACCGGAGGGGCCTCCTAGAGACATGATTGTGAAACCTCACTTCTTTAAAGTTAAAGAGGCAGTCATGCACTATGCCAGAGAAAATCCTGGCCTGGAAGTCGATGGTTATAAAATCCAAATCTTCAAGGACAGTTACCAAGCTACCATTCAAAAGAAAAGGGCTTTTAAGCCCCTACTATCCCTTTTGGTCCAACGGGATATCCACTACGTGTGTGTGTGTAACCACCTAAAAATTCCTCAAAAAGTCACACTTTCTCCCCAGAAAGTAATATAATATTTATAACCTTTTTGTGTTGAAATACATAAACATATTAATATTCAAATCCCATAATAATGCAAACTCAAAAGAAAAACAAAAACAAAAACAAAAATTATAATAAAATTCAGAAAAAATGTCCCAATAAAAATTATCCCAAACCAATAATAGTGTCCAAAAAATAGTGTCCAAAAATAATAATAGTGTCCAAAAAATAATAATGTCCAAAAATAAATGTCCCAATGTTCAAACTTTATCCTCCAGTAGGAAAAAATCTCATTGCATACCGTGGTACCTCAAAAAAACAAAAATAAAATATCTAGTGCATTACCTTTGTAAATAATAAATATTCACTCCGTGCAAAACACAAACAACAAAACTGTGCAAAAACTGTATACATATATATCTCCTGTGCATATATAAATTAACTGTGATCCCTCTGTGAACACTCCAACACTGTGTATCCACCGACACCAATAGTATTAGATACTATTACCCTCTGTAACAATATGCCAGCAGGGACGAAGTCGAAGTCCGGACGAAGTCCGGAAGTGACGAAACGCGTTAAGGGTGTGACGTCGTGACGCACGCACGCAGACCGGAAGTGTCGCCGCGGCCATTTTGTGGGTTATCAACACATGGCTTATCGCAGTTGTTTGGTGGAACTTGCATAGGAACCATGTGGGGAGCTGGATATGTGATATTTTAATGTAAGTGGATATTAAAATCTTTACCTATACCTTGAATATGAGCCTTGAGACCCTTCTTGTCTTTTGAGGACCTTGGAACAATTTCTTTGGAGAGAATGAGAAGATCCCTGCTGGCATATTGTTACAGAGGGTAATAGTATCTAATACTATTGGTGTCGGTGGATACACAGTGTTGGAGTGTTCACAGAGGGATCACAGTTAATTTATATATGCACAGGAGATATATATGTATACAGTTTTTGCACAGTTTTGTTGTTTGTGTTTTGCACGGAGTGAATATTTATTATTTACAAAGGTAATGCACTAGATATTTTATTTTTGTTTTTTTGAGGTACCACGGTATGCAATGAGATTTTTTCCTACTGGAGGATAAAGTTTGAACATTGGGACATTTATTTTTGGACATTATTATTTTTTGGACACTATTATTATTTTTGGACACTATTTTTTGGACACTATTATTGGTTGGGATAATTTTTATTGGGACATTTTTTCTGAATTTTATTATAATTTTTGTTTTTGTTTTTGTTTTTTCTTTTGAGTTTGCATTATTATGGGATTTGAATATTAATATGTTTATGTATTTCAACACAAAAAGGGATATCCACTACAGATGGAACTACCCTTTCCATTTGCAATTCACTTTCAATGGTAAATCTTATTCCTTTTCCACATTCCTTGAGGGAGAAAAGATCCTGCTGAAATTGGACTTTATTTTCCAAAGTCCCTCGTCTCGGAGCCAATCAAGAGCTAGTTGTTTTTCCTCCTCCGCTTTCACCTCTTTGGTTTGTTTCACTGATGAAGAAATCTATCACCTCTCATCATGTACTTGAGAACTTACTGTACTGCTGGTTGATTTTTCCCCTTTTGTTTTTTGCAGTGGCTTCTCAGTAGTTCCTTTTCTAGGACTCCTTCACCTTGCTCAGTCCTGGCGACGACTCCTCCACTCCCAGAATTCATACTCTGAGACAATTGTTTGTTACTTACTTTAAGTCTTCTAATACAATTGTGCTATTACTTAACATTGGGCATATCTCAGCCCATTTGTCTTTTTCTCTTTTTTGTCTTTTACTTTCCTCTTTTCTCACTTTTATATTTTTTTTTCTGAGGGTCGTCCTGGGAATTATTAGGTTTGGCTGGACCCCATTTTGTCTGGGTGAGTTTCTATTTTTATCATTTATTCTGTTGTTTCCCATGTCCAGGTTAATGCACACATCAAATACCAATCGACTGCTATCCCATAATGTTCATGGGTTAGGTTCCCCTTCAAAATGATTTAAAGTGTTTGCTCATCATAAATCCCTAGGGGCTGATGATTTATTGTAGCTCTCCAAGAAACACACTTTGTTACTGCCTTTACTCCTCGTTATATACATACGGATTTCCCAACTTGTTTTCTCGCTAATGCCTAAGAGAAAAAACATGGATGGCACTCTCTCTTTCCAGACGGCTTTCCTTTGTTGAATCTAAAATTATTAGGAACAAGGAAGGGCAATATATCTTGAGGAAGGGACATTTGGGTGGAAGCTTTGTGACCTTTCTAGTCTATTATGCCTCAAACACGAATCAATTGGAATTTTTTCGTTCCCTACTTCGTTCTATGTCTTCTGAATTTGAAGGAGCCGTCATCTTAGCAGGTGACTCTAATCTTGCCTTGGACCATGTTTTGATAAATCAGACACGGCTAAATTTAAATCTCGCCCAAGGCTAAGTCACATATTTGCACAGTCAATATGACCTGATTGACGCGTGGAGAGAGGCTAACCCCACCTCTAGAGACTATTCCCATTTAGCTAGAGCACATAACCATTACTCTCGCTGTTAGGAATGGACTGGCCAGCAATGGTGGGACTCGCCTGCCTTTTGATCTGCAGTACCAGGGCTGGCCAGCGGGTGTTCCCAGCAATCAGAGACTCAACTCTGCAGCCAGCTAACACCTGTAACTGATGATGCTGGGGTATTTAAGGGATGGCCAGACCCACAGACTCTGCCTTGGTGTTGTGTTTGTCCTGGGCCCTGTATCTGTCCTGCATCCTGTTTCTGTTCCTTTGCTGACTTCTCCTGCTCTGATCCTGGCTTGAGACCCTGACCATCCCTCTGTCTGACCCTCTGTACTACGCTGCTTGCTACCTGTTCTGATCCCTGGCTTGTGACCCGGACCATCCCTCTGCCTGACCCTCTGTACTATGCTGCTTGCTACCTGCTGAACCTGGCCTGTGACCCCGACCATTCTCCGCTTGCTCCCCCTGTACCTACCTGCCCAATTGATATTGACCCGGCCTGCCTGACGACGCTTGCTTGTATGTACTGTTATCTGTGGGTGGTTTGGTTTGGTTTGTTTGCACTGTATTATGTTTTAGTATTGCACTGCGTTTATGTGTGTACTGTTAGTGTTAATAAATTATATTGTTTATAACATATCTGAGGTCTGCGTTTCCCTGCTTCAGTCACACACCTCTGGTCATACCTGGGAGCCCTGACATTACACCAAGGCCAATCCTGACCAGAAGTGGCTGCACAGGGAAGCCATCTTGGCTTGTTGATGGGAAGGATGGATCTTGATGAGGTTGAGTATTTATATCTGCTAGTGTTTGATGACAGGGAGTATGCTTATCAAACTCTGAAGGAGTATACCCGGGATGAATTGCTAGAATGTATACGGCTCGCTCATGTTCTAGTAGATCAGGGCACAGTGTTCTCTGAGGTGCAGCCATTGATTGAGGTTTGTGCAGAGTTGGTTTCATCTGGTTCCCCCGAATGCAGGGATGAATTTTTGCCACCATTTAGTGCAGACCAGGTAGAGTCCCTGGTGTGTGGTTATTAGAGGATGATGTGGGTTACTTTCTGGAGCGTTATTCCACATGTTCACCACAGACACTAAGAGATTGTATAAACGCAGTGCAGTCATTGACCAGACAGACTTTGTGTAAGCTCAGCTTTGTTCAACCCATACTGCAGACATGGACAGATTTGTTGCACCCAGCCTCAGTCAGCTTACAAAGACCCAGTCCTGCTTCTAACTCTACTCCTGTATTCCCACCAGCTCCTCCAGTTACAGCCCAGTATACTTGGCTATCTACCGCATGTCAGTACCCTGTTCCCACTCGCTGCACCTATCCTGCCTTTAACCCTGTAAAAAAGCCCTCTGTAGCAACTGCTCCCTCTCCTGTTCCATCCTCCAGTTCTTCTCTGTCTCCAGCTGCTCCATTCGTTTGCAGACCTGCGTTTACTTGCAGTGCTCCAGTAGTTAAAACCAGAAAAAAGCGAAAATTCTTTCCAACCAGTACCATCCTGCCAGTATCCAAACTGGTGAACCTGCCTTCCCGTGGTTCAGACTGATGCCTGTACGCAGCCTGATGCCTCTACTCGGCCTGAAGCCTCTACTCGGCCTGAAGCCTGTACTCGGCCTGAAGCCTCTACGCGGCCTGATGCCTGTACTCGGCCTGATGCCTGTACTCGGCCTGATGCCTCTCTTCAGCCTAAAGCCTCTACTCGGCCTGATGCCTCTACTCGGCCTGATGCCTCTACTCGGCCTGAAGCCTCTACTCGGCCTGAAGCCTCTACTCGGCCTGATGCCTCTACTCGGCCTGAAGCCTCTACTCGGCCTAATGCCTCTACCCAGCATGATGAACTGATCCAGCCTGACGATCCTATTAGGCCAGTTGACTCGATGCCCCGCTGTTGATCCAGATGATCCGGTACCTGATCCGGTGCCCGCTGTCGTGCCAATTGACTCAGAGCCCGCTGTCGTACCTGGTGACTTGGTGCCCCACTGCCTTGCCAGATGACGCGGTGCCCGCTGGCAAGCCAAATGACCTGATGCCTGGTGACCTAGTGTCCGCTGTCATACCTGATGACCCGATGCCCGCTGTCGAGCCAGACAATCCGGTACCTGATGACCCGATGACCGCGGGCACTGGGGCAGACATTGAATCGTCTGGCTGGACAGCGGGCATCGGGTCATCAGGTACCGGATTGTCTGGCTCGACAGCGGGCATCGGGTCATCAGGTATGACAGCGGACACTAGGTCACCAGGCATCAGGTCATTTGGCTTGCCAGCGGGCACCGTGTCATCTGGCAAGGCAGTGGGCACCAAGTCACCAGGTACGACAGCGGGCTCTGAGTCAATTGGCACGACAGCGGGGCAGTTGACTCGGAGCCAGTTGACTCGGAGCCCACTGCCTTGCCAGATGACGCGGTGCTCCGCTGTCGAGCCAAATGACTTGATGCCTGGTGACCCGATGCCCGCTGTCCAGTCAGACGATCCAATGTCTGACCCAGTGCCCGCGGTCATACCAGTTGACTCGGAGCCCACTGCCTTGCCAGATGACGCGGTGCCCGCTGTCGAGCCAAATGTCCTGATGCCTGGTGACCCGATGCCCGCTGTCCAGCCAGACCATACAATGTCTGACCCAGTGCCTGCGGTCATAAGGGTACCAGTTGACTCGGAGCCCACTGTCGTGCCTGGTGACTCGGAGTGCCCCGCCGCTCCGCCTGGGGGCCCGAGACCTGGTGCTCCGCTTGGGGGTCCCGCGCCCGCCGCTCCGCCTGGGGATCCCGGCGCCCGCCGCCCGCCCCGCCCGCCGCTCTGGGGGCCCGAGACCTGTCGCTCCATCTGGAGGTCCGGCGCCCGCCGCTCCCGCCTGAGGGCCCGAGACCTGTCGCTCCGCCTGGGGGTCCGGCCCCGCCGCTCCGCCTGAGGGCCGAGCCTGGGGGACCTGTCGCTCCGCCTGGGGCACGATGCCCGTCGCTCCGCCTGGGGGCACGAGCCTGTCGCCCCGCCTGGGGGTCCGATGCCTGTCGCCCCGCCTGGGGGCACGATGCCTGTCGCCGCTCGCCTGGGGGTCCGATGCCCTGTCGCCCCGCCTGGGGGCCCGGTGCCTGTCGGGCCTGGGGGCCCGGTGCCTGTCGCCCCCGCCTGGGGGGCCCGAGCCTGTCGCTCCGCCTGGGGGCCCCCGACGCCGCTCGCCTGCCTGTCGCCCCGCCTGGGCCTCGAGCCCTGGTGCCCGGGGTACCGGCGCCCGTACCGCTGCTGAGGGCCCTGAGTGCCCCTGTCGCCCCGCCTGGGGGACTCGGAGCCTCCCGCCGGGGCCCGGTGAGACCTGTCGCCCCGCCTGGGGGCCCGGCGCATGGCGCCCGAGCGTGCGACCGCCGGTGCCCCCGCCTGCGCCCGCCTGGGGGCCGCCTGCCGCGCCCGCACTGGGCCCGGGCCCGAGGGGGGGGGCACCTGTCGCTCCGCCCCGGCGCCCGCCCGCTTACCCGCCTGAGGGGGCCCGGGGACCCGAGACCTGTCGCTCCGCCTGGGGGGTTCTTCCGGTGCCCCCGCTATCCGCCCCTGAGGGGTCCCCAGGTGCCTGTCGCCGTTGACCTGTGGGGCCCGCAGGTGCCTCGTCGCCCCGCCTGGGGGCCCGAGACCTGTCGCTCCGCCTCTGGGGGTCGCCCCGCCTGGCTCGGATGCCCGGCCACCTAGACCGCCCCCGGAGGGGGCCCAGCCGGCTCCGCCTGAGGGCCCGAGATCCTGGGGCTCCACGCCGCCCCGCCTGGGGGGGGCCGCTGGACCTGCGCCCGCTCTGCCTGGGGCGATCGGGTGGGTGTCCGCCGCCTGCCGCCTGCGCCCCGGGCCTGAGTTGGGTGTGATTCCCCATGCCAGTGCGGCCCCCTGTCCACCTGGGGGGGTTCCCGGCCAGGCCTGTCGCTCCGCCTGAGGGGCCCGGCGCCCTGTCGCCGCCGCCTGGGGGCCGGCGGACCCTGGGCTCCCGCCTGAGGGCCCTCCCATCGGGGGGTACGCCGCCTGGGTCCGGGCGCCCCCGTGCCCTGCTGCCCCCGCCTGGGGGCCTGGTGTCCTGCTCCGGGCCCGAGCCGCTGTCGACTCCGCCTGGGGGTCCGGTGCGCCTGCCGCCCGCCCTGAAGGGCCCGAGACCTGTCGCTCCACCGCCTGGGGGTCCCGCCCGCCGCTCCGCCTGAGGGCCCGAGACCTGTCGCTCCGCCTGGAGGTCCGGCGCCCGCCGCTCCGCCTGAGGGCCCGAGAGTCCTGTCGCTCCGCCTGGGGGGGCCGGCCTGTCGCCCGCCGCTCCGCCGCTGCCTGAGGGCCCGAGACCTGTCGCTCCGCCTGGGGGTCCGGCGCCCGCCGCTCCGCCTGGGGGCCCGATGCCTGGGGTCGCCCGCCTGGGGGCACGATGCCTGTCGCCCCGCCTGGGGGCACGATGCCTGTCGCCCCTCCTGGGGGCCCGATGCCTGTCGCCCCGCCTGGGGGCCCGGTGCCTGTCGCCCCGCCTGGGGGCCCGGTGCCTGTCGCCCCGCCTGGGGGCCCGGTGCCTGTCGCCCCGCCTGGGGGCCCGGTGCCTGTCGCCCCGCCCGGGGGCCCGGTGCCTGCTGCTCCGCCCGGGGGCCGGTGCCTGTAGCCCCGCCCGGGGGGCCCGGTGCCTGTAGCCCCGCCCGGGGGGCCCGGTGCCTGTAGCCCGCCCGGGGGCCCGGTGCCTGCTGATCCGCCTGGGGGCCCGGTGCCTGCTGCTGGGGGCCCGGTCCTGCTGCTGGTGGCCCGCTGCCTGCTGCTTCGCCTGGTAATCCGATGTGCCTTTGCCCGGAGTCCTGCCCGATGTGCCTCTGCCCGGAGTCCTGCCCGATGTGCCTCTGCCCGGAATCCTGCCCGATGTGCCTCTGCCCGGAGTCCTGCCCGATGTGCCTCTGCCCGGTGTGCCTCTGCCCGGAGTCCTGCCCGATGTGCCTCTGCCCGGAGTCCTGCCCGATGTGCCTCTGCCCGATGTGCCTCTGCCCGATGTGCCTCTGCCCGATGTGCCTCTGCCCGGTGTGCCTCTGCCCGGTGTGCCTCTGCTCGATGTGCCTCTGCCCGGAGTCCAGCCCGGTGTGCCGCTGCCCGGAGTCCTGCCCGGTGTGCCAGTCTTTGATATCCCGCCAGTTGCCAGACCCGGGCGGTGGAACATTTTGCCCAGCTAGGACTGTTTGGAGCATCCTGAGGCCGCTCCTTGAGGGGGGGGGGTACTGTTAGGAATGGACTGGCCAGCAATGGTGGGACTCGCCTGCCTTTTGATCTGCAGTACCAGGGCTGGCCAGCGGGTGTTCCCAGCAATCAGAGACTCAACTCTGCAGCCAGCTAACACCTGTAACTGATGATGCTGGGGTATTTAAGGGATGGCCAGACCCACAGACTCTGCCTTGGTGTTGTGTTTGTCCTGGGCCCTGTATCTGTCCTGCATCCTGTTTCTGTTCCTTTGCTGACTTCTCCTGCTCTGATCCTGCTTGTGACCCTGACCATCCCTCTGTCTGACCCTCTGTACTACGCTGCTTGCTACCTGTTCTGATCCCTGGCTTGTGACCCGGACCATCCCTCTGCCTGACCCTCTGTACTATGCTGCTTGCTACCTGCTGAACCTGGCCTGTGACCCCGACCATTCTCCGCTTGCTCCCCCTGTACCTACCTGCCCAATTGATATTGACCCGGCCTGCCTGACGACGCTTGCTTGTATGTACTGTTATCTGTGGGTGGTTTGGTTTGGTTTGTTTGCACTGTATTATGTTTTAGTATTGCACTGCGTTTATGTTTGTACTGTTAGTGTTAATAAATTATATTGTTTATAACATATCTGAGGTCTGCGTTTCCCTGCTTCAGTCACACACCTCTGGTCATACCTGGGAGCCCTGACACTCGCATTGATCGTGTGTTTCTTATTTCGGGACTTTTATCGAAAATGCTTTCAGCCAAAAATTGTTTCCACACCCTGGTCTGATCATGACCCTGTGATGTTGACATTTTCCAATCTAATGGTTAAACTTACCAAGCCACATTGGCATTTGAACAAGTCTCTCCTTACTAATGAGTCCTATCGATTATATATTACAACTCACTTGAAATCTTATTTTGAACTCAACATAAGGACACTACACCTGCTATCAATTGGGCAGCTCACAAGGCTTCAGTTAGAGGATTCTTTATCCAATTTTCATCCAGACTTAAAAAGGCCAGAGAAAAAGTCATTTCTGCCAAGCTCGAGACATATGAGGCTTTTGTTATACAGCATAAAAACGTCTCCCTCACCTGATTTACTGCATAAACTTGAGCAAGCCCACTTAGAACTTAACATCTGTCTAACCACGCACACTTTAAAACAACTACGATGGACTAACCATAAGTTTTTTGTTTTTGTGGCAGGATAGGCCGGGTTCTCTGTTGGCACACAAACTTACCCCTAAACACTCTCATTTAGACCTTCCAAAAGTTAGACTTTCAGGGGGCCATATTTCCAAAGACCCTCAAAAGTTTCTTCAAGATTTTCAAAATTTTTATGCCGCCTTATATAACCATTCTCCAGCTGATGGTTCCACTTCAACACATGCTTTTTTTAAATGCTTTACCTCTCCCGTCTATTGCGGAAGCCTACAGAGAGCTTATGGAACAATCTTTCACCCATTAAGAGATCGTACAGACTATTAAAACATTGTCCTCACATAAATCACCTGGCCCCTCGTGTCTCCCTAACAACTACTATAAAGTGTTCTCTGAATATCTTGTTCCACACAAGGCTCTTTATTTCAACTCCTTGAGAGATGGTGGAGCGGTTCCTTTAGATGAGAATAAGGCCTATATCAGCATAATTCCCAAGCCCAACAAAGACTCAACTGATGTCCTTTAGTATCCTCTGAACTCGCTTATCAATTGTGATCTGAAAGTTCTTAGTAAGCTCTTAGGCTTGCACCTCCATACATTTTTAGAATTATACATTCATAAGGACCAATCTGGCTTTATACCTGGGCGACAAACTTTAAATCACATCTGCCGGTCCATTACATTGATTTAAGCGGTACAAGTACGATGGGATGCTCCTTTCCCCAGGGAACTTTTGCTTGGATCTTCACAAGGCTTTTGACAGC